TTTTGAGGAATAGGATTAGGAATATGGGTAAAAATAAAAAACCAAATACACCTCTTGATATTCTAGATAATCTCACATAAATGCCTCTATGAAAATTTTATTGGGCTAGGGTTGGTGCCCAGGAAAGCCCAATGGTCCTATTTCCCTAGTTGTAACCCAAATCTAACCCACAACAACTAAAACAGCGAGAACTAAATCACAAACTCACGCAGGAATTCTCATTTAAGGTCTGCCCGGCAGGTTTTTTTTTATTGCTTTTGACAGATTTTTAATTAGATTGCTTGAGAGGTTTTAAAACTATTATTAGTTAGATTTTTTATGCATTATTTTTTATTGGCTCAAAAACCTTCTAGAACTAGTGTAGTATATTTTTTAAAGTTTATAAAACACCCAAAATCGGAGTGTTTTGTTTAGTTTTAAAATTTTATTTTACAAATATCTTATTCACTATAAAATTATCTTAATTATATCTAAAAAAATTTAACCATATCATATGGGTCCTCAACCTATTAAAGATAAAATAATTTTAAATAATCTTAAAAAAAATTATTAAAATCTTATTTTTATATGTTTTCTTAAAGAAGTATAGTTACAATTTTCAATCATTTCAGTTGTTACAAAGAATAACGAAGAAAAATAAGAAAATTTTATCACATTTAAAAATTATAAAATGCTAATAAACAAAGTTCCTTAATGTTGGTAAAAAAACTCTAAAGGACACGGTGGGAATTAAAAAAACCGTTATTAAAAAATCCATCAAAGCCAATGCAGTAGTTTACCTCAAATCAATCGTGGTGGTTTACTATCTACCATGAAACTCCCGAGCGGAGACAAAATACTGAATTCCCGGATTGAATCTCAATCACTTTTAGGTCAGTGATTAAGCTTCCTTGTATTGCTTATTTCAAGTTTCAATTTTTTTACGGTTTTGTTTTGAGTGATACCAAATTGTCTTTACTTATTCATGAGCTCCTTCAATGGCTATGAAGCTTTCATCTTTAACATTTTCAAACAAAATCCTCAGATGGGTCAATTTAACTGCATCTATATCTTCACTTTCGTGTGCTAATACACTCCAACTTATTGATTTTGAAGCAAAAATTCAATCTTTAAGGAATAAGCTATGCCCGGATAATCTTATCCGGGTTTTGGATACCACCGGTGACTTAAACTCTGCTGTGAAGATATTCAAATGGGTATCTCTCCAAAAAGGGTTTCAACACACTGCTGAGTGCTGACACTTATTGTAAGATAATTTTGAAGCTGAGTTTGGCTGGAAATGTTGAACAAATAGAGGGGTTTTGTCAAAATATGGTAGAAGATAAGTGCCCAAATGCAAAAGAAGCTCTTATTTCATTAGTTGAATTGTTAGTTAAACGTTGTAGGGTGAATGAGGCAATAAAGGTTCTTGTGAGTATGAATTTGTGTGGTTTTAAGCCCTCAGTTGATGTATTTAATGTAGTGTTGTGCGCCATTGTGAAGGAGAAGAGAGGTTTTGAGGAGTGGTGTTTATTTATAAGGAGATGGTGAATGCAGGAGTTGTGCCAAATGTTGATACTTTGAACTTTTTGTTGGAGGTTTTGTTTGAAACTGGTAGGATTGAGTCTGCTTTGGATCAGTTTAGGAGAATGAACAAGAAATTGTGTAGTCCTAATAGTAGGAGCTATGAGATGGTAATAAAGGGTCTTATTTTGAGCAATCGAGAGGTGAGATGTTTGATGTTGGATTTGAGCCTGAGTTGAGTTTCTATACCTGTATAATACCACTGTTTTGTTGGAAAAATAAACTAGAGGAGGGAATCCGATTGTTCAGGATGATGAGAGCTACAAATCTTTTGCCGGATGAGTTGACTCATAGGGAGTTGATCAGATGCATGTGTGAGAACCATAGATTAGATGATGCAAATAATCTTCTTGAAGAGATGTGTTAGGATTAGGATAAGTGTGTTAATTAGAATTAGGATAAGTGTGTTAAGTCTTTTATTATTGTCTTTTATGATTATGTTAAGTCTTTTATAATTATCTTTTATAATTGTATTATTATCTTATTAGAATAGAATTAGGATTATCTTATTATCTCATTATAATTAGAGTCTTTTTTAGAGTCAATATAGTTAAGTGTAAGGCTATATAATAACCTAAATCTAGATTGTGGGAAGGAATAAAAGAATTTTGTCAACTAATATTTCTATCTCTTGTTCTTGGAGATCTTTGTTCCTCATATAAACAGATCTTATCCTAAACCCTATCATTGGTGCTCTCGTTCCCTAGTTATGGCTGAAGGCACTCGCTTGCATCTTTTCGATTAGCAGCTTGCTAAAATTATGGCTCTACAATCTGTCCAGGCAGAAACTCTCACTTCTTTAACAAAGAAATTGAAAGTTTTGGCAGTTAGTTTTCAAGATGTTACTTTGCAAATTTCAGCTTTAAACAACAAGTTTGATCAAACCTGCCAGCAAAACCAACATTCCGATGAATCATCTTCAGATTTGACTGGGCGAGGTGGATCGACTTCCGGGAGTTTTTTCCCAAGTCTTTCCGTTTAGAAGTCCTTTGTTTTGATGGCACGGATCCGCGTGGATGGAGGTTTAAAGCCGAGCAATTCTTTGATTACCATAATATCTCTACTGAGCAACGATTGACGATCTCTTCCTTCCACATGGATGGGCCAGCTCTCTCCTAGTATCGCTGAATGCATTCCAATGGGCAGATCCGTTCTTGGCATTCTTTCCTACAGAATTTAGATGTTCGTTTTGGGCCTTCGGAATTTGTGGATTACCAAGGGCAGTTGGCGAAACTTACTCAAACAAGTTCTGTAGTCGCTTATCAATCAGAATTTGAGGAACTCTCTAATCAAGTTTCTGACCTTCTAGGTACGTTCCTTCTAAGTTGCTTTGTATCAGGGCTCAAACCAGAAATCCGAAGGGAGGTGCAGTCCTTTCAGCCTCACACCCTTAACCATGCCATGAGTCTTGCCCGCTTACAGGAGGATAAGCTGTAGGATCTAAAACTATACTTGCATTTTGTCGACCCCGTATCTTGCGATCCTAGTAAATCAACTCTTAATGTTCCTTCAGTGCAACAGGCCCTTTTGCCTACTCCAAACAAATCGGATTCCTTGCCTGTTAAGCGACTCACAACAACACAGATGCAAGAACGACGCAACAAAGGTTTGTGCTATAATTGCGATGAACACTTTCACCCTAGGCATCGCTGCACAGCCAAGTTCTTTCTCTTGCTGATGGAGGAGGATGATGATGAGCACGAGGATGAACCGGGATAACTGTTGTTGATAGTGTCGTACCTTGCAACCTTGAGGACAAGGTTGAGGCGAAGGGGAAGGCAATGTTAGGATTAGGATAAGTGTGTTAATTAGAATTAGGATAAGTGTGTTAAGTCTTTTATTATTATTTTTTATGATTATGTTAAGTCTTTTATAATTATCTTTTATAATTATATTATTATCTTATTAGGATAGAATTATGATTATCTTATTATCCCTTTATAATTAGAGTCATTTTGAGAGTCAATATAGTCAAGTGTAAGGCTATATAATAACCTAAATCTAGATTGTGGGAAGGAATAAAAGAATTTTGTCAACTAATATTTCTATCTCTTGTTTTTGGAGGTCTCTGTTCCTCATATAAAGAAATCTTATCTCAAACCCTATCAAGATGACAGAAAATGGTATAACACCGGCTGTTGATGTGTTCGTTGATATAGTAGTAGGACTTTGTGTAATAGAAAAATTTGACGAGTCTGTCAATTTCTTGGAAGACGAATGTGGTTACATAACTTCTCCGTACAACGCTATGCCACAACTCACGGACAAATGTGGAAAGAGGGTCTAAAAGGTGAGGCTTCCCGGTTATTGGATCTGATGTTGGAAAAAGGTTGGGTACCAGATGCTACACTCACGGACTGGTGGTTGGGTCTTTTGCCAGAAAAGATACAAATGGCGAAACATTTGCATATGAAGACTCCATGCAAGATAGTGTTAGCAACATACTCGCCGAGGGATTGGGAAACACATGACAAGTTCCCATACTTGACAGTGAAAGTTTCTTAATTACCCTGGTGGAAAACTCGCTTTGACGGATCTAAGCTTCTTCGGGATCTAATTTCGCAGTTTTGGTCAGAGTTGCATGAGGAATCAGTCTTTAATGGCATTTGATTGTATACATGCCACTGCCAGGCTAGTTGTTCTTTTCCCAATCATCTTATAAATTATAATCTGACATGATGCCACTGCATTGTAAATTCCAAAAGAAACTTATTTTTCGAAATCCCCATAAATGGTGCGACATCATAAGCCTTTTGAAACACTGCATTTATTTCGACTTAAGTCAATTTCTAAAAAACGATCCTATGGTCCATCACATTATTATGGTCCATTACATTATTGTCTATATTTAGCCTTATGAATTTACCGTATGATTTAGTGTTGTTTGTATATACTGGATAAAATGTTGAAGAAAAGTTTCATTTCCCTTCCAATGCAGAGGCTTAACATTACTCATTTTCCTTTCACGGATATCAAGCAGTACCCTAATACATGCATTCTTTTTTACACTAAATTACAGGTTTACATGTCTTACATTTTCTTCAGAAAAAAGGCTGTTAGACATAGAGATTGTCATGTCCCTGGTCCTTTGATCCCTATCACCAGAACAGAGAAGTTCCGTCAGTTGAAAGCTTACGACGACAGATGTTGTGATAGCAAAACAAGAAATAGAGAAAAGGAGTAAGCTCTGAAATACCTTTGGCAGGAAGAAATTTCCGAGAAAGTTGAGTGCTAATATTATTGTTGTGTCTATGCATGCAAGATTATCTGGAGAAGTGATGACCAACAGACGGGATGACATAAACTCACGGTTAACCTATTGACCATAGATATTTCAGAAATGCATTTGCCAAGATGTAATTGAATCCCTGTACACATCCCATTTAAAAATGTACTGCAAGGTAAACATGGATGACCTACATACAGTATCTTGAACATTACAAGGATTCTTTGCAAGTGGATTTGTTGTGTCCGAGAGCCTTCCTTATTTCATCTAGAAACCAACCATCCCCTGCTGTTGGTCGGCCTGCAGCAGCAAGGGGAGGAGTTACAGTCACTGCAACCTGGGAAGGATCTGCCTGTACAGGCCTGTCCAGATCGGGAACAGGATGTACTGTCTCTGAATATGTTAGTCTGTACATTTCTGTTGTGAAATATCTGGAACAATAGTCATATGCACTCCGTCCAATACAGATAATGACGGCAATAGCATGGCAGCATGGCAAACCAGTATGTTGCCACCCTTTGCAACTACAATTCCAATGATCCATATCAACCACTTCAATAGTGTCACCACGAACTTCCCAAGTGCTCCCACCTGACGGTAGCACTTGTAGATCACAGGCTTTTAGGTTCTCCTTTTCCAGCTTTTCTTCCATGGATGGTGTTATTCGTGTCATCCACAGATTGGAATCTGCTTGTCTTGTATAAATCAACTCCATAATCTTACACCGTATCACATCAACCATCTGTGATATTGGTAATTCGTCTGCATCTGACAACCAGCTGTAAAACAGCTCTCCAAAGTGTGATGTCATATGGTTATATCTTGCACCCAGAAAGAATGCATTTGCCCAATTCTGGGGCTCAATCTGTATGATCCAATTGTATGCTGTTAGAGAAATGCCTTTGATGCTCTCAATGCTCTTCTGGAATCCTTCTGGTGTCGGCGCATAAGCAGCAGCATAAAGATCTTTAACCAAGAGACGCCACTCCTCACGAGAACATATCCACCTCACGGATTTTATAAGTCTTTCAGATAAGTGCTGTAGGCAATAAGCATGATATGAATCCGTAAATATCTCAGCAATAGACTCCCTTAGACCCTTCTTTTCGTCTGCTACAAATGTTATAGGACAAGGTATTGCTGATAGTACAGTTTTCAATTGCAATAAAAACCAATGCCAGTTATCAACAGTTTCAAAATATACTAGAGCAAAAGCAACAGGAAAAACTCCATCATTCCCATCTGCGGCTGTCGCAGCCAACAATTTAAATCGATATTTTGACTTTAATGGTATTGTACCAAGAAAAAGGAGAGGTCGGCAACCTTGTTGAAAGCCATACAACGAGGCATGAAATGAGACAAACAGACGATGGAAACTTGAGTCTTCCTTAGTAGTGAAGGTGGCAAAACTACCCGGATAGGTCTCCATTATCTTCTCACAGAAAAAGGGTAATTGATTAAATGCCTCTTTGTACGAGCCATGAAGCTGCTCCTTAGCTGTTTCTTTCGCACGCCAGGCCAGAAAGTAATTAAGCCGGATTCCATATTCCTCTTTCATATAATTGACAATATCCTTGGGCTTGTAGTTGGGGAAAATTTTCAACTTCTCCTTAATAATACTCGCCACAAAACTACTAGTTGCCTGATGCCCCGTTGTCACAGCGGCACCTTCACATGTATGTGTTGGATTCATCTTCTTGACACATATTAGTTGACTAGTTGATAATTTTGATGCATGAATTCTCCAATGACAACCTTCGGCTTTGCATTTGACAAACACGCGATGTCTTTCGTTCTTTTTATACCTAAAAGCAAACTGATGCGCAATAGCATATTTACGCAACAGTACGCGAAACTCATGAGCACTGCTGAATCTTTGGCCAACACCTGTGATAGTATTCTGCCACTGATGGGCAGCTTTCGCTTGCTTCTCATCGTTGGAATTAACATGAGGAAGAATGGGCGAGATTTCGGCAGGGAGCTCAATCTGTGTATCATCAAGATTCACATCAATATGGTGGGTATCAACTACAACTTCAAGTGATGCACCAAGTGGGATGTCTGGATTATTAGTATCATCCACGATGTCTTCCACAACAACAAGGGGTGCATTAACTGAAGGCACTGCTTCCGAAAGAGTTCTTCTGCTTGATCTGTACACTCAAGAATAACCAAAGTTAGAACAACTAATCCAAAATACAAAAACAAATTGTCAGCTTAGACATTGAGAAAACTACCTACTGGCAGGCATGTTTGAGACATCAGGCACTACAATTTCTTCCATGATGATATAAACATCAGCAGTGTGAGAATCTCCATGAAACTTTATCATCCTCTTTAAGTCCTTGTCGTTGGAGATTGTAATAAGAGTTTTTCTGTTACCTGGGAGGAAATACTTCAGAGACATTGTATTAACATTACAGCTAAACACTTCTGCTGCTTCCATCTTGAACTCATTAAACCTCATTTGGTCATCAATATCGATGGCATGAGCATCGCCACCCTTATATGACAATGTGCCATCCTTTTCAGTCTCAAACTCACCACCCAACTGACAAATCGCTATAATTTTGTTCTCCACCATGACCTAACAAAACCAAGCAAAGAAAAAGCCAAAGTCTTACAGCTCTTTGGAGAAGTTAAAGCTACTAATTTCTGACACTATTTTTGAACTATTAATTGCAGATAAGATTCATTTCATATCACAAAAATCCTGAACTAATGAACTTTTCATGCTCATGCGTGGAACTTAAGTCAACCAAATCCAACATTTTGCTTAAAAGTCAACTAAACTTTCTATCTTGGACAAAATTAAATTTCAAAGGCTCAAAATTTTAAAATCTGATAACATATGAGCAAAAAAACACCTGGAGTATTAAATATGTTTACGAAATGACCTCTACTTATCTGAAGCGCAAAACCTTTGTAATGTTTCTGCAGAATTTCAGTTATCAAAACGCAGCCGTTTCACTGCAAATGAGAATAGATCACAGCCACTGAAATGAAGAAGATCCAACGGCCAGGATTAGCTCTTGAGGTCAACATATATAAAGGGAGTCTTTTGCACAGTACCTGGGGTTTTTTTTTTTTTTCAGTTTTTGGCTGCTCCTCTCTCTTTCACGACAGATCAATTTTGCTCTTATCATTGTTAGTTTGTAGTCAAGCTTTTGGGTTGACAATCTGTATAATCTTAGGGTGAAGATAGTGTTTTCTTCAGGTTTAGAGAAACTAGATCAAGTATTCTCTAGAGATTTCAGATTTGAGTGATTGGGTTAAAGATTGATAGTTGGGTGATTCTTTGAGAGTGTTTTTGTAATCTGTAAAACAGTTGATTCCTAGTGCAGCGAGCCTCCAAAAATTCTTGGAGCTCAACGTGGATGTAATCTTTCCATTGTGAAAGGTGAACCACGGTAAATTTGGTGTTCTTGTGATTGGTTTGATCTTGTTTATTTTGTGTGTGTTATTTGTGGGTTTGTGCGTGTGATTAGCAGTACATTGATTGGGAATTTACATTACAATATGAGCAAAAAAACACCTGGAGTATTAAATATGTTTACGAAATGACCTCTACTTAAGAAACATTGATTCACAAGACTCGATAAAGAAGCTTGGATAAAGTTTGCCGCATCTGTTATTTAATAAGCATTTTCATTTCATGGGTCCATTCTAAATATCCAGCACAGAAACACACAACAATCCATACATAACAAATTAACAATAAAAGCTTAATAATCCCACGTTCCACAAAATTCTTCAATTCCTGTATTTTTTTCTTGGGAACCAAAGAGAAACAAGAAACCCAAAGCTAAATATCCAGCAGAGGAATAAAAATCGTAAGAAATGAACCAGCCAAAATCATCAAATTGTGAAGATTTTCACTCTCCTGAAAGCTATTAAACTCAAAAGGGGTGTCTTACTTGTTCTCTGCTTTGGATTTCTCACTCTAATCAGAGAAATCTTCTTCTGTTTCAACTGTTGCAAACAGGCTGCGGCCGGCGGCTACGGAGAATGAGGAAGGGTCCAATCGAAGGGAGGAGAGATGATGTATTGCAATGGAGAGAAATCAGAGATGGTATTGGTTGGAAGTGTTGAAGGTGGAGAGAGAAGAGGCGTTAAGACTTTAAGGCTTAACAATTGACATAGGAATTTACGCGTTAAGACTTCAAAAGGGTGTGGCATGTTATATAAAAGGGGGTGAACACTGAACAGTAATATCCCCTTAAAAAGGTGGTGACATGTGACACAAAAGGGTGTTACATGTAATATCCCCTTAAAAAAAAGACCATTATATCGTCATTTATTTTATACCTATAAACCAAATTCTTGATTGTTTTAACACAAATGCAACTTGGATTGCTTTAATGTCATTTCTAACCACCAGTTAAAAGAGGTTATTTATCTTTATAGAATATATAACAAAACAAAATCAATAGGGATGGATTCATAAAAGATAATTATGATTTTAATATATTAATTAGAATTAGTTATTATTTTCAAAAATATTATTGGTAAAAAAAGGTTAATCGTATTAATAAAGTAGGTAAAATGTTAAATGGTAGTCAATTTCTTTGATAAAATTTGTGTGGTACTTATTTTTTGGTTAAATTCTTCATTTTGAAGAGTGGCACATCATTTGAATAAAATCCAATTTTAAGAGGAATTGATAGCTAATTAATAATCTATTTCTTTTTTTAAATAATTAAAGTAATCAACATTTTCTATTTTGATTTTCAATTAATAAATTAATAAAATAAGAAATCATTTTTTTATATAAATGAATAATTAAATAACCATTCTTTTTTATTTTATTTATTATAGGACATAATTAAAAGAGTTGTTAATATTTTATTTCTTATCAATAAATATTTAAAATAACCTTCCTGTTTTATTTTGACATTTTAATCATAAATAATTGAAACAACAATTTTTTTTTTTTCATTTTGATCTTAATAAATAAATAGTAAATAATAAATTCATTTTTATCTTTTAAGTTCTATAAAAATATAATGAAACATTAATTCCTTCTTTATTATGATTTTTATAAATAAATAATTAAAACAATAATTCATTCCTTATTTTCATTTTATATTTATAAGATAATTTATTTAATTAGTCTTTTTCTATTTTATAAATAAAATCAACTGCCTCCAACAATAATATATTCTAATTGAAAGGTACGTGTTATTACCTTCATTATTTGAGATGGGTAAGAGAAAAAAATTTATAATTATCTTGACACTTGATTATTCTGTTGTAAAATATTATTTCAATTCAATAAGTGAATCAAATGATTTTTTTTTCTTTTTTATATTCTTTGATATTTCCATGAGTTTTTTTTTTTAATTAAAAAAAAAAAGTTATCTTAACATTATTTGTCAAATTCATGGAGTTGCACATATATTTTTGAACTCAATGAAAATTGTTTAGTGATTAATATTATAAAGTTATTATCAATAAGAGCTTAGCTAAAATGGAACTTAATAGTTAGTCTTGTGATTTGTTCTCATGATACCAGTAGCATTCCAGGAAATATGAGGTGCGTAATGGCGTTCAATAAAAACCCTTCAAAAAGGGGGTGGAATGTAATATGGTGACAAGTATGGCGTTCATGGACCCATGGCTTTTTTATAAAAAAAGGTTCAAAAAAGGGAGGTGACATGTAATATAAAAGGGGGCTTCATATATTAAACCTTCAAAAAGGGGGTGACAGTAATATAAAAGGGGGCTTCAGATATTAAACCTTCAAAAAGGGGGTGACTTGTAATATAAAAGGGGGCTTCAGTTATTAAACCTTCAAAAGGGGGTGGGTGATTTGTAATATAAAAGGGGGCTTCAGATATTAAACCTTCAAAAGGGGGGTGACATGTAATATAAAAGGGTGCTTCAGATATTAAACCTTCAAAAGGGGGTGGGTGATTTGTAATATAAAAGGGGGCTTCAGATATTAAACCTTCAAAAGGGGGGTGACATGTAATATAAAAGGGTGCTTCAGTTATTAAACCTTCAAAAGGGGGTGGGTGATTTGTAATATAAAAGGGGGCTTCAGATATTAAACCTTCAAAAGGGGGGTGACATGTAATATAAAAGGGTGCTTCAGATATTAAACCTTCAAAAGGGGGTGGGTGATTTGTAATATAAAAGGGGGCTTCAGATATTAAACCTTCAAAAGGGGGGTGACATGTACTATAAAAGGAGGCTTCACATATTAAACTTTCAAAAGGGGGGTGACAAGTAGTATAAAAGAGGCCTTCATTATATTAAACCTTCAAAAAGGGGGTGATATGTGATATAAAAGGGGCCTTCACATATTATGCCTTCAAAAAGGGGGTGACATGTAATATAAAAGGGGGCGACATTGAAAATGGTGTTCATGGACCCACGGCGACACGGATAGTCAAGAAGACTAATCTATAAAATTAAAAAGAGTCAATGGAGAGAAACCAGAGATGGTATTGGTTGGAACTTGGAAGTGTTGAAGGTGGAGAGAGAAGCGGCGTTAAGACTTAAGGCTTCAGAATTGAACTAGGAATTTACGCGTTAAGACTTAAAAAGGGTGTGGCATGTAATATCCCTTTAAAAAGGTGGTGACATGTAATATAAAAGGGTGTGGCGTGTAATATCCCCTTAAAAAAAGAACATTATATCGTCTTTTATGCGTATAAACCAAATTCTTGATTTAAGACTAGTGTTTAAAATCAAACGTATTTTATTTCCATGTCATTCAATACAAATGCAACTTGGATTGTTTTAATGTCATTTCTAACCACCAGTTAAAAGAGGTTATTTATCTTTATAGAATATAAAACAAAACAAAATCAATAGGGATGGATTAATAAAAGATAATTATGATTTTAATATATTAATAAGAATTAATTATTATTTTCAGAAATATTATTGGAAAAAAAAAAGCTTAAAATGTTAAATGGTAGCCAATTTCTTTGATAAAATTTGTGTGGCACTTATTTTTGGGTTAAATTCTTCATTTTGAAGAGTGGCACATCATTTGAATAGAATCCAATTTTAAGGGGAATTGATAGCTAATTAATAATCTATTTCTTTTTTAAAATAATTAAAGTAACCAACATTTTCTATTTTGATTTTTAATTAATAAAATAACCAATTTTTTTTTATAAATGAATAATTAAATAACCATTCTATTTTTTATTTATTTATTATAGGACATAATTAAAGAGTTGTTAATATTTTATTTCTTATCAGTAAATATTTAAAATAACCTTCCTGTTTTATTTT